AAAAAAAAAAAAAAAAAAAAACTGCCAACCCCCACTTTAGTTGATAAGCTTTACTAATGCCTTTTATTACTTAAACATAGCTTCTTTCTTTGTAAATATGAGTTCTCAAGAGTACCACCTATAATTAAAATCAGATTTGACTTAAAGACAAAAATAGCACATCTTTAATATAAACATTATATTTTCTGTTTTTCCAACATTTTTAGATCTGGTAGCTCAGCGAGGAGAAAGATTGGAATTATTGATAGATAAAACAGAAAATCTCGTGGATTCGGTAAGTATGCTGGATATGATAATATTTTTCAGGATGTAAAGTAGAGAAACTGGTTGATGGCTAACTTAATAGGGAAATGTCTTAACTTCCATACTGCAGTATTTTTTGTCCTGACCTCCATTATGTGATTACATTGTGATTATGAGGATAACAATGAGCATAGAAAAAGAGCCATGACCCATTAATAGCCGTTAAGGAAGCTTTGGTTTGGAAAACATACTCAGTTTGTAGAAACAATTCTTTAAAGCTTTGGATTGAGCCTATATAATTTAGCACCTCAGCTGCACATACCAGTTTGTTCTCCTCTGTACGTTTTGTAAAACATGAAAAAATAAATTTTCAGGCCACTTGCGACCCAGTATGAATCCTGAAACCTGGACAGTTCAGTCACTTTCTTGCTTACTGTGTCAGCTTGAGCTTTCCTTATGTCAAGCAAGAGGCAGGGATTGGGAAGGGCCACTGAGCCTTAAGGGAGGGAGTGTGTCCCTGTGACCTACATATGCTACAATTACATGAATTTTTGCATTCTCCATCTGGTTTGTGGGTGAAGGTTTTGAGAAAAGGTGATAGATAAATGGTGAATAGAAAAAGGGCAGAGATCAGTTACAACTTGGGTCTGCACAATTACAAATTTAAATACAGAATGGAAGTTTACACCTTGAAACAGATCAGTGAGTGCTCATGTTCATTTTCACTGGCAGCTAGATTGTAGTAATTAATAGCACAAGCTCTAAAGTCGGCCTACCTAGGATTGAATCCCATCTCTGCCACTTCCTAGTTGTGTGACCTCAGGAAGTTTACTTAACTGTGCCTCAGTCATCTGTAAATTGGAGATGTACCTACTTCATAGTCTTTTGAGGCTTAAATAAGATAGTGCATGCAAAGTGCCTGGCACAGTGTCTAGTACATAGTAAGAGCTATTTAAATGTTTATTGTTATTGTTAGTTTTACAAGGATATTTGTTAACAGTAGGTCTTAGAAGCATAACAGTTTTTTTCATCAAAGCACGTGGTAAAGCACATAGTAATTGGAAGAAGGGTGGCACCATACAGGAACTCAAAACCCCAGGGTTCTATAATGGCTCACTTTATAACCCATTGCTGGGGTGTGAAGAGGGAAAAGAAGTATCTGATCCCAGATCTGCAGACCAATTAATTTCTTTGGTACTTCCAGTCCATCTCTTAGCTATTCTTAATCCTAAGATTAAGATTGGAATGGTCTGCATTTGACCAGTACTAATATAGTTTGTACTTTCCAAATAAAAGTCTTTTTAATTTTGTTGACTATATGCCCCAGGATAGCAAAAGGGGCTAATTAACTAACAGGTGTCTCTTTTTCTGGAGGAATAACATACATACAATAAAGTATAGCAAGTATATTATTTTTAACAAATGTACAATTCAGATATTTTTTACATATGTCTGTACCCTTGTAACAACCACCTAGATCAAGATATGAAACATTTCCAACACCTCAGAAGGCTGACTCATGCCCCTTCCAGTTGATAATCCCCAATAGAGATAACCATTTTTTTAACTTTATTTTTATTGTTGAAACTATTACCATTTTTCTGATTTACATCATCCTAGACAATATTTTGCCTATTCTTAAAATGTATAGAAATGAAATCTTTTGTGTCTGGCCTCTTTTGTTCACTATTATATTTGTGAGATTCATCCACATTGTTGGATGTAGTAATAGTTTATTCTTTTTTATTGTTTTCTACTATTCAGTTATATAAATCTACCTACCAAAATTAGTTTATACATTCTCCTTTGTGGAGCATTAATTTTGGATACTGTATTTTATTTCATTGATCTGTTTGTCTACCTTTAGGCTGATACCACACTGTATTGATACTGTAGCTTCATAGAATTCCCTAAGTCTTCCCACTATGTTCTCCTCCAGGATTATTTTCACTATGTTAGGTCTTTTGCATTTCCATTTATATTTCAGAATAAGCTTGTTGTTTTCCATCTTTAGAAAAATTTTGTATCTCTGATTGTGATTGCATTTAATTTATAGGTCAATTTAGAGAGCATTGGTATCGTGGAGTCTTCCTATCCATAAACATGGCACATTTCTGCTTTGTGTAGGATTTTTTAAATTTTTGCAGCAATGTTGTAGTTTTTGGTGTGCAGGTTTTGCACATATTTTGTGAAATTTACCCTTGAGAATTTCATGCCCTTATATCCTATTTGTAAATTTTTAAGTTTCATTTTCCAATATTTATTGATAATATAAGACAACAGGTTCATATAAACAAAATCAGAAATGAAAGAGGAAAAGTTACCACATACATCACAGAAATGCAAAGGATCATATTAGAATACTATGAAAGACTATATAACACCAAATTCAATAACCTAGAAGAAATGGATAAGTTCCTAGAAATATATAACCTTCCTAGACTGAGTCATGAAGAATTGGAAAATCTAAATAGACTGATTAACAGTGAGGAAATTGAAACAACCATCAAAAACCTCCCCCCATGCCCGGCCAGTGTGGCTAAGTGGTTGAGCATCGATCCATGAACCAAGAGGTCACAGGTTCGATTCCCAGTCAGGACACATGCCCAGGTTGTGGGATGGATCCTCAGTAGGGAGTGTGCAGGAGGCAGCTGATCAATGTTTCTCTCTCTCTGTCCCTCTCCCTTCCTCTCTCTCTAAAAAAATCAATAAAAACATATTTTTAAAAAAACAGCAAAAGCAACATCACCCCCAAAAAAGTCCAGGACCAGATGGCTTCATTAGTGAATTCTACTAAACATTCAAAGATTTCATACCTCTCCTTCTCAAACTCTTCCAAAAAATTGAAGAAGAGGTAATAATTCCTAACACATTTTATGAGGCCAATTAAGCCCGATACCAAAACCTGGCAAGGATAACACAAAAAAAGAAAACTAGTCCCATATGTCTGATGAATACAGATGCAAAAATTCTAAACAAAATATTAGCAAATCAAATATAACAATATATTAAAAAATAATACAGCACAAGGATGGTTCAACATATGCAAATCAATGCAATAGACCACATTAATAAAACAAAGGATAAGCATATGATCTTATCAATAGGTGCAGAAAAAGCATTTGATAAGATACAACATCCATGTATAACTAAAACAATAAAATAGGTATAGAAGGAAAGCACCTCAACATAATAAAGGCCACATATGACAAAGCTAATATACTTAATGGTGAAAAACTGAAAGCTTTTCCTCTAAAATCAGGAACAAGAAAAGGAAATCCACTCTCACCACTCTTATTCAACATAGTGCTGGAAGTCCTAGTCAGAGCAATAAAGTAAGAGAAAGAAATAAAAGACCATCCAGTTTGGAAATGAAGAATAGTGTTACTTTTTTCAGGTCACATGATTCTTTATATAGAAAACCCTCAAGACTCCACCAAAAAACTGTTAGAAAAAAACAAACAAATACAACAATGTTCCAGGATACGAAATCAATGTACAAAACTCTATTGCGTTCCTATATAGTGACAATGAAATTTCAGGGGGGAAAAAAGAAAATAGAACAATTCCTTTTGCAATTGCAACAAAAATAATAAAATACCTAGGAATAAATTAACAAAGGATGTGAAGGTCCTATATACTGAAAACTACAAAGCATTATTTAGAGAGATTTAAAAATACACAATGAAGTGGAAAGGTATCCTGTGTTCATGAAATGGAAGAATCAACATAGTTAAAATGTCCATATTACCCAAAGTGATATACAGACTTAATGCAATCCCCATCAAAATCCCAATGTCATTTTTTAAAGAAATAGAACAAAACATCATCAGGTTTATTTGGACCCACAAAAGACCCTGAATAGTCAAAGCAATCATGAAAAAAAAGAACAAAGCTGGAAGTATCACACTACCTGACTTCAAATTATATCTCAGAGCAACAGTAATCAAAACAGCGTGGTATTGCATGGAAGAGACTGGCAGATCTCAGAGAGGAAGGGGATGGGGGGGCAGGAAGAGGCTAGCCAAAGAACTTATATGCATAGCCCAAGGACACAGACAATACTGTGGGGAAGGCCTGGGGTGGGGCAGAAGCTAGGTAGAGGAGGGAAGTGGGGGAAATATAGGGGACATCTGTAATACTGTCAACAATAAAAAATAAACTTAAAAAAAAAACAGCCTGCCATTGGCAGAAAAACAGACACACAGGTCAATAGAACAGAATTCAGAGCCCAGAAATAAACCCATATGTATATGGGCAAATTATTTTTGACAGAGGAGCCAAAAACATACAATGGAGAAAAGAAAGCCTCTTCAGTAAATGGTGCTGGGAAACATTGGAAAGCCACATGCAAAAGAAGAAAACTAGACTAGAATTTGTCCCCATGTGCAAAAATTAATTCAAAATGGACCAAAGACCTAAATATAATATCTGAAACAATAAATTATATAGAAGAAAGCATAGATACTAAACATCCAAAATATATAAAGAACTCATACAACTCAACACCAAACAATCCAATTAAAACATGGGCGAAGGACCTGAACAGACACTTTTCCCAAGAAGACATACAAATGGCCAACAGATATATGAAAAGATACTCAACTTGACTAGCTATTAGGGAAATGCAAATCAAAACTACAATGAGATACCATCTCACACCTGTTAAAGTGGCTGTTACCAACAAGACAAGCAATAAGAAGTGTTGGAGAGGCTGTGGAGAAAAGGGAACATCCGTTCACTGCTGGTGGGAATGCAGATTGGTACAGCCACTATGGAAAACAGCATGGAGGCTCTTCAAAAAATTAAGAATAGAGTTTCCTTATGACCCAGCAACCCCTCTTCTGGGCATCTGCCTGAAAAATTTGAAAACATGTATTCATAAAGATATATGCACCCCTATGTTTATTGCAGCATTATTCCCAGTGTCCAAGACATGGAAACAACCAAAGTGTCCTTCAATAGATGATTGTATAAAGAAGGTATGGTACATATATGTAGTGGAATACTACTCAGCCATAGGAAAAGATGAAATACTGCCATTTGCAAACAATATGAATGGACCTTGAGAATATCATGCTCAGCACAACAGATCAAACAGAAAAAGTCAAGAGCCATATGATTTCACTCATATGTGGGCTATAAAACTGAAAGAAACAAATGAACAAACAATAAAAACAAACAAAAATTTATAGACACAGACAATAGTATGATGGTTACCAGACGGAGGGGGTAGGGAGGTAGTAAAGGGTAAAGTGTAAAATATATGGTGATGGAAGATGATTTGACTTTGAGTGGTGGGTACACAATGCAATATACAGATCATGTATCATAGAAATGTACACCTGAAACCTATATAATCTTATTAACCAGTGCCACCTCCAATAAATTTAATTAGAAAATAAATAATAAAATAAAATTTTAAAACAGTAGGTGATTTGTCAATGTTCAAATATTGACTTGAGGATTGTGGAGGAATCTCCACTCCAACCTATTGAATGACGTAACTATATTTAGGCTTATTAGTTTCATTGCTCACTCCTTTTTTTATCCACATTTTCTTCTTTCTTGAGTTCTTTATTGTGATTTAGTTTCTGAGTAATTTCAGTGTTCATGCAGCTGAGAAATTCACAAACTATATAGTTTAGAGGGCACGGTCCCCAAGTCTGCCCTCACTTCTGACACCAACTGCAAGTTTGTTCCCAAACCACTTTCAGTTTTGATAATTGACTAGAAAGACTCACAGAACTCCATGAAGGCTGTTATACTCACCATATGATTTATTACAGGTAAAGGATATAGATTAAGCAGAGGCAAGGCTCACAGTGGGGAGTTTGGGCAGTTACCAAACCCAGAGTTTCTGTTGTCCTGTCCTCATGGAGTTAGAACACGTTAATCTCCCAGCATAGATGTGTGACAACATGCATAGAATATTGTCAAGCAGGGAAGCTTGCCCAAGCCTTGGTGTTCAGTTCTTATTGAGGTTTTATTATGTAGGCACAATTGATTGATTGCCCACTTGCTTGATTTGTCTTCAGTCTCCAGCTTCTCTGTGTGACCCAAAGCCTCCACCGTAAATCGGTCTTTCAGTAGTGAATAGCTCCCACACTAAATCACATTGTTACTATTTGGCTAGCCCATATAACAGGCAGAGATTTTAACTCCCGGGAGCTAAGGGCAAAGGTCAGACCCCCTTTTGGGGCAAGTGCAAGTTCTTCACTACACAGTATAGTTGATGGGCATTTGAGTCATTTCCAGTTTTGAGATAAGACAAATAGTACAGTTGGAAATATTTTTGTATATGTCTTTTGGTGAACTTGTGCATATATCTCTTTTGGGTATATAGCTATGAGTGGAATTGCTGGGCTATTAGGGAATTTTGTTATTTGCTTGTTTTGAACTGCTTCTGTTCTGGTGGGAATAGTTCAGTATATTTTGAGAAATCGATGTTTCAGAAGAAATTGGATAACTGAAGGGGTAAAGTTCTTTGGGTTTTGGCCCTCATACAAGTAAATACATATCTTCTGATGGAAATTGAACAGGTGTTATGACCCAAAAATCACCGGGTTATACTGGGCAGAATAGGCAAATATGTTTGTAGACACTGGTTTAAAAGGAGCCTTTCTTATTGGAAGCATAAAGAGGGTAAGGCTTTTCCACTAGCAGGAAAAAACCACTTCTGGTGCTTCATATCACCTGCATAGCTATGGTGGAGAAGAGAAAGGAGGGAAGCCTTTTGATGGGCTCACGCTGCTTACCATAGACCTGGCAGAGTCTGCTTTGGGGAACTAGTGATTATGGATGGCTTTCTCTACATGGGAAGAGAGGGAAGTGGTAAAGAACACTGGGGCAAAACAGAATTAATGAAAGTAAAAATTTTGGAGGTATTACTGAAAATCAATCATATAATCAGTGCCAAGGTTCAAACAATTCTTTTTCCCCCCCTAGTCTGTCACCTTCAAAACAACCAGCAGAAATCTTGCCCGAGCCATGTGTATGAAGAATCTCAAGCTCACTATTATCATCATCATCGTATCAATTGTAAGTTTTGTCTTTTTTGTGTGTGATTTTATTTTTTAATCTCTAAGAAACTAGGTACTAGAATTCTTTCTAATAATTAGCGCTCTAAAATGAGCTACATATACCTTTTAATAGTGAAACACATGACCAGGCTCTCCTATGAAGTCACATTGAAATAGTATCTCTCCTTAAGCCCCATATCCCTTTTTAGAATTTTTATATGTAAGGAATTGTACAAGGCATTCCAAATATTCCTGGACATTTAATGTTTTTGTCACTACTGAAATGAGATTCTTTTAAAACTGCACTTTCTAATTGATTCCATACTTTCTAATTATATTTCTGTTTTCTAGTTTATTTTGTTTTCTACTTATTGCTGTTTTCTCTTTTCTAATTGATGTATTTTATGTCTGGCAAATTTGCATAACTCATTAGTGATAATGGTTTGTCAGTTGATTTTTCTGTATACTATATGTCAGGAGTCAGCAAGCATAATACATATTTTAGGCTTTGCAAGCCACATACAATCTGTCACATATCACCTGGCTGGCATGGCTCAGCGGTTGAGCATCAACCTATGATCCGGGAGATTGCAGTTCGATTCCTGGTCAGGACACATGCCCGGGTTGTGGGCTCCATCCCCAGTAGGGGACATGGAGGAGGCAGCCGATCAATGACTCTCTCCCTCTCCCTTCCTCTCTCTCAAATCAATAAGGATATGTAAAAAAAAAAAAAAAGTATAAAAACCATTCTTAGCTCATAGGCCGTGGGCTGTATTTACTGACCCCTGCTATAGAGGAAAATTTATAATACCATCTGTTAATAATTTTAACTATCAAATTCACACACACACACACATACACACACACATACACGCACACATACACTGTGTATATAATTTTATATAATTATATATTTTTTCTTGCATTTACTAGCAAGTGTTGAATCATGATATCAATGAGCGTCTTTATTCTCAGTTTTAATTAAAATGCTTCTAATATTTTATTTCTAAGAGTGACATTTGCTATGAATTCTTGTTGGATTTTTATTATCAAGTTAAAGAGCTATGATTTTATTTCTAGATTGCTAAAGCTTTTGATCAGGAATAGGCATTTAATTTTAGGAAATGATATTTCTCTACCCAATGAATTGATAATGTGACTATTTACATTTAATATTAATAGATTGAATTACATTAATAAATGCATTTATGACGAACTATTCGTTCATTTCTGGAATAAATACTAAGAGATTGTTATGTAGTATTTTTTAATGCATGATGAGTTCAATTTCCTAATTTACTTAGTAGTTCTCTTATCTATAAGTATAAATTAGTCTGTGTGTTGTTTTCCTTTTGGTACCCCATGTAAGCAGATATTAGACCTCTTTGAACTATCCTGCATGTCTTGTAACCTTTTTAGTATGTTTAAACTTCTTTTTGCATTGCATTTTCAGAGAATCATTCTGCTAACTCTTCCAGCAAACTAAATTTATTTTCAGCTCTGTTCATTCTGCTGTCCAGCTCTTTTATTTGTTTTTCATAACCATGTTTTAAATTTCTAAGAACTCTTATTATACTTTAATCTTTTTTTTTTTTCCCATGGAACTCGTATTTGTTAACAGATGTTACTCTATCCTTGAATTTCTCTAGATATATAGTAAGAGATATATCACAGGAAATTACATAGCTTACATGCTGGTGAGAGCTGGCTAGGCAAATCCAACATCTGTAGGACAGGCTGTCAGGAAGGGCACGCTGGGCCTCTGGCGCAGGAGGAAAGCTGTAAGTCACAGGCAGCATTTCTTCTTCATCAAGGAAACCTCAGCTTTTCTCTTAAGGACTTTTAACTGATTGAGTCAGGCTCATTCATATTATGTATGAGTTTTAATCACATGTGCAGAATAAAGCAACACACTGTAACATAGCCAAGTTGACACATAAAACTGACCTCACGGAAATAGAGTTGTTTATATGTAATGGATTTATTATTTTAATTTTTAAGTGAATTATATAGCTGTTTTTTAAATTTTCATTTCTAACATGGTGTCGACAGTTATAACACCCCTAAGCAAGAGCTCTTTGGAGTCCACACTAATTTTTAAGAGTATGGGTACCCTGAACCAAAAGTTAGAGCTGCTGCTCTGAGAGGGGGTTGCTTTACTTCGGAGGTAGTTTGTGACTGGGGCAAAGCAGCCTTTCTTCTTGTCATTTGCAGAAGCCCAAAGTTAACTCTGAGCAGATACTGACTTGGCTCCACTTTTCCTCATCCCTTCTTGGAGGTCCTTCACCTTAGACAGCTGGACCTACCTAACAGAGAAGGACAGCCATAGATCTGTTGGTGTTACATTGGAAATTGTGTCATGCCCTTAAATGTCTTTTTGCTCAGGATGCTCAGGTGGCACATTCTAGGCTCCTCAGCTTTTTTCTTTCTTTTTCTTTGGTGTGGGAATTTAGATGGATTTCTGAAGCCGGTTTATTGTTAAATTCACATTATATATACTTATTACTTAATTACATGGAGAACAATACTCTAATTGCAAAATCAGTCTTTGCCAAAGGTGGTTTCACCTAACATATTGTACTTCAGCTTTAAAAGTCCTTATATTTCATCTGGCCAGTTGTCAACTTCACATCATATTGGAATATGTGTGAGTGTGTGTGAATGAATATGATGTGAGTAGTGTAATCTGCTTTTTAATAATCGGAATTTGCCGTAAACCACCCCCAACATTTGTAGAGAAGTAAGGCAAAACACTTTGATGACTTTTGGGAGGGGGCATAGAGTTTATAACCTTTTTTCCAAGCACGTGAATAATGAAATCAGTCACTAAAAGATCTCAAAATGTAGTTTCAAGCAAAACAAAAGGACTAATTTAATACAGTGAACCTAATGTTTAAAATAAATCTATTTTTTGAAATGTAACGTGAGCAGGCATGTATAGTTGAAACCTGTATGATTTTGGGAACCAAGGTCACCCCAATAAATTCATTAAAAAATAAATTAAACTGTCATGATTTAAAATTACAATACTCTCAAGAGCTAGCACATCTATAATAAAACTAGTGTTTTTGCTGTCTTTTATCATCAGCTTTCCTTTGATTTAGTAATTATAATTATTGTGTCATTATCCGCTGAAAGGTTAGTGACAACATTCTTGCTCATAGGTAATATAAATGTGGAGTCTCTACTCATGCTTTTTAATTTTTTATCCTAAAAATGAAAAATTAATCCATATGTAAAACCTAAGAATGTATTTAGTAGTAAAATCATACGTCAAAGGAATTATCATTTGTGAGCTTTATGACTATTAATGGTGAATCAGTAAGAGTTGGTCATATAAATGGATTCTTTCTAGTTTCCAGTAAAGAGGAACAACCCCACTGCTTTCTCTCCCACTGAAGAAAGCATAATGGAATTCAAACTGGTGAGAATCATATCAGAAAGTATCATTTTAATTCAGCTTCTATCTTTGAAAATACTAGGTTAGTGTATTGTATTATTACACAACTGCTACTCTGATAGAACCAGTATTTGTTAGTAGGTCTTTACACTGTTTTATGTATTATTTAGGGGCCTCTGATAGATTAAAAAAAATAAAATTGCCTTCCTCCTCCCTCCAGGTGTTCATTTATATCATCGTGTCACCTCTCTGTGGTGGATTTACATGGCCAAGCTGTGTGAAGAAATAAAAAGTTATCATCAACCAAGAATATGCGAGAACAAAAAGTTGAAAGCTCCACGCGATTTAAGCCTTTTAATACTGACAGATGGTGTCTGCCAGCCTCTTCAACTCTCCTCTTTTTCTGTTTATAATCTTGTTCTATGCATCCAGATTGATCTTTGTCCTGTCAACCAATTTATTCCAATATACTTCAGATTGAACCATTTATTGTAACAGTAGCCTTAATGGGCTTTTTGTTTTGTTTCTTTGGTTAACTACTGTCATCTACTTAAAAAAAATTTTTGTCTGTGATTGCACAAAGCTATCACCAGGGTGGAAAGCACCCATCTTATGAGCTGTCTACTATAGCTATAGATGAGTTTCGTATGTGCACACAAAAGTATTCAAGAGACAGATAGTATTGCTAACATCTCATCGTTGTTTTTTTGTCCTTGAAGAGTTTTAGGTGCTTCAAAACTATAAATGGAGAGGCATTGTTATTTGGGGAATTGTAATTAAACTGTTGGTGCTGCTTGCTCCTAGGAGCCCAAGCAGGTGAAGTATTGGACGTTTTACCTCAGTCAGATGGAGAACAGTTTGCTAGCCCATTAGAAGTGCACGGAGTTATCTTTGGCCTCCTAATATTCACTTTCAAGAAGAAAGTTTTACCATTTACAAACCTCACAGAGCTTGATATTCTGTTTCCCCACTGCAGTTGATTTGAGAAGAGGATGGTTTAAATGTTATTGAAGGTTATGGTTCTTTATATATTTTTCTCAGTTGATATTTAGGGCAATTGTATAGTTAATGGAGTATGTTGTGGAGGGAGTGGGGAGGCAAATTCCCCTGCCTCGCCAAAGAAAAAGAAAACCACAGCGAATATGCTGGCGTTTTTGCTGTATGAAGGGAGGTAGTGGGGGAATTTTTTTCCAGTCTGGGAAAATCCCAAACAATATAATCAACAGTCAACTCCAGGGTTTGGGTTCGACTGCTATTGAATAATAGTCTGAACTTCCTTTGTGGTTTAAGAAGTTCTTTAACTGCCTGGTTTTGAATAATTCTTTTGTGAAACGAGGGCAGGCAGTATGATGTATCGAAACAATGCAAGACAGTTTAACATTCATTTAAATGCACTGTAGCAAAACTGGAGTGTAGTCATACTGCTTTGGCTAGTCTGGCATCTGTTAGCTAGTACGTACGTACCTTTAATGTGTATCTGAAGGGACATTTGCTGCCCTCGATCTAAATGCATTTATTTATCAATAAGTGCCAGTAAATGGAAATTAAATTACATTTGACTATTTTCCCAATGAAAGAACAAATTATTCAATAAAACCCAGCCACCTGTTTAGCCTAGTCATGTGCCTTGAATATATATATGTCACATAATCTGGCTCATGCTACCTGTTTTGTAGTCTAAACCGTTTGATTCATGCTACCAGATTCATTTATTTGATGTGTGCTTTAGGTCCACTGGAACACTTTTCCTGGTGATCAGGCATAGCGCAAATGTTTTTTTCCCCAAATGTTCTGTTTATCAACACTAATGCCTTTTAATTACATCAGCATTTCCTATTGAGAAACACATATGTTCCAGGAAAACAGCTGGCATTCCTGAGTAATAAGTTCCAAATATCTTTAATCCAAAGAAAAAGACTTAAAATTTATTTCCCTTTCTTATACACGACTGAAAAGAACTGATGTGCATGTTTTAGGGATAAATTCCTCAACAGTCCCTTGATCTGTTTATGTATAAGAACGCTTTATAAAGCACATATCTTGTTTTAAATGATGCACAAACTGAAGGCATTAATAAAGTTTAAGAGTAATATGATGAGTTGCTTGTTTTAGAATTTCTTCCTGGAATCTAAGTTCTTGCAATGACATTTTGCCATAGTTTACAGAATAAAAGTATTTTACTTATGCTGAAAATACATTAAGAAGTGTGACTGTGCCCTGCCTGGGTGGCTCAGTTGGTTGGAGCATCATCCCGTGCACCCAAAGGTGGCTGGTTCAATTCCCAGTCAGGGCTCATGAGGGAGGCAACCAATCGATGTTTCTCTCTCTCTAAAATCAGTTTTAAAAATTGTGTTTAATGTTTTTATTTCAGAGAGAGGAAGGGAGAGGGGGAGAGAGATAGACACATCAGTGATGAGAGTCATTGATCAGCTGCCTCCTGCACGCCCCAGACTGGGGATTGTGCCCACAACTCGGGCATGTGCCCTGACCAGGAATCGAACCGTGATCTCCTAGATCCTAGGTCGATGCTCCTCCACTGAGCCATGCCGGCTGGGCCAATTTTAAAAATTTTTAAAAAGAAGTGCAACTTGTAGCTTTTCAGTATAGAGCAATACCATTGTCTTAGGTTTATAAAATTTCTTGAAAACCGAAAGACACAAAAGAACTTAATAAAATATGTAGGTCATGCTGAAAGCAATGAAAGATCCTGAAATGACCATGCAGCGTCCACAACCATCATCTTGAGACCGTGGTTGAGACAGAACAAAAAAAGGACCCCAAGGATGGTAAGTTTCACTTCACCTCAAACCCTTGGCCACAAGGTCAAATAGTGTCATAATTTATATGTTTTCTTCTGAATGAATTGATATGGCTTGTACATCAGATAATGGTTTCTCCTCGCTTAACTCTGCTAGTGCTTACCTTTCCTGACCTTGAGATAGATGAAGAAATTGGGTTGCTTCCCAGGGTATCTTGATGGAAATAGGTGTATCAACAATAATAGCCCTAGACGCCCCCCTACAATGTTCTACATTAGAAGCAGGTCTCTTTCTGACAGCTCCATCTTTCAAGAATAATAAATGGGGTAGAATGGTGGTGGATGTGGTTGACTGATGATTCAGTTTGCATTCAGTGAGGAAAACAGCCAAGACAAGTATTATGGAAACAAGGGGTTTCATACAGGATTCAAGCTTACACAGGTGTCTGACAAACTGGGAAAGGAAAGTCTAAAATGGAGGCAGCAAGGAATCAGAGGAACTGTCCTAAGCACTTGCACTTGAAGCACTGGCACTGGTGGGCATGTTGGAGCTTGCTGAAAAACCTGAGCATTGCTACATATCTATTTGCCAAAGTGGGTGTGAAGATTGACGTGGAAAGGTTTGTGGAAGCCACAGCCTCAGTAGACCTGATACCAAGTACCTAACTTGTGCCCACATTGTCAGCAGAGCCAGTCACCAGGAGGATGAGCTAGATGTTGAGTGGAGGAGATTAAGAAAAAGCTGGGGTACAGTGGGCATCTTGGCATCTTTGTGGTTAACTGCCATGACCATCAGAGTATTGGCCTCCACTTCCCTTCTGCTTTCCGAGTCACACAAGTTTATTTCACTGGCAGACATAATCCTAAAGGGGTATAGGTTCCCTATGAAATACCCAGCTTCTGTCAAGGGCCATGGTGCCAGTCCAGTAAAGCCTAGTGGTACCCAGATTAATTCATTGGATCAATTTAACTGCTTTATCTTACGGACAAAGACTATTTTCTTTTGGTCAAGATACATTGTACAAAATTATTTTGGATTCATGCTGTTTTTAAAAAACATCTAAATCCAAAATATGTTGTGATTTTTTATATATCTCTTCTCCAAAAAGGAGATGCAAGGACCCAATGCCAAAGCCAGAAGCTTTGAGTTTACCACTAACAGCGTTGCCTTTTCAGCAAGTGGAATTGCTTCTTGTCATTGTGGGAGGACGGCAGAGAACTGGATGGGTGGCTGAGCTCCTGACCCTAAGTGAACCCCTTCCTTTCTTGGGCTTCAGGTTCCAACCTCTGCAGTGGGCCATCGGTGGTGTGGAATCTGCTGCTTTACCCAACCCAGAATCTGTCCTCATGTGCAAATCCAGCACCTCAGCTTTCCTTCGGGAATTCATCTACCTATTCCCAGTCCAAGCAGCTCGAAAGGGCTGACCCGATGCCTAGCCGAACCCATGTTCCATCCTCTGAGCGCTGTGATGGATTCAAAGATGATAATGTGACCAAGCCAGACCAAAGGGATTGCTTGATATATTTTTTCACTTAATACTACTTTGTATTGACTTCAGGTGTACAGCATAGTGGTTAGACAATCACATACTTTACAAAGTGGTCCCCCTGACATTTCAGTACCCTACTGGCATTTTTAAACTGTGACTTTTCATGGAACCCAAAGGAAGGGAAACACCTCTTCCCCATGAGTGGGTGTCAGCTGGGAGTTGCTGGACACTCTCCATGCAGGGAGAGAGCCTGTGCCTGTGAATGGCGCCCCCAAAGGCACTTAACAGGATGCAGGGTTGGAGAGGGACCAGATCCCATTGCAACAATGTGAGAACCTGGACCTGCCAGGTCCAAACCTACTCTTAAACTTGCCTCTTGCAAATATTTTTACCATTTAAAAAATTATTTATTTTTCTTTAGTAAGTGTGTCCAGTTCCTAGCAATAAAACAAGTCCTAGCTGACACACACAGGAATCAATAATCCCTGAGAATTTTTTGCTCAATCCCTCTACCCACCCCACCCAGCTCCTCCCCTCCACAGCTGTCAGCCTGCTCTCTATTTCTGAGTCTGTCTCTATTTTGCTTGTTAGTTCATTTTGTTCATTAGATTCCACATGAGTGAAATCATAAAGAGAAAGAAACTCATGGACAGGGACAACAGTGTGGTGATTGCTGGGGGGAGAGGGGTGTGAGGAGGTGGAGGAGGGGATGGGGGAATAAATGTTGATGGACGGAGACTTGACTTGGGGTGAATACAATACATTGTACGGATAGTGTGTTGTGGAATCATGCACCTGAAAACGATAATTTTGTAACCAGTGTCACCCCAGGAAATTCAATAAAAAGGAAAAAGATAATACCTGAGACTCCCTCCACGATGGTGTCCTCACTGGGCAGGGCACAGCTGGGGGGATGAAGACCTGCGTGGGGTCAGCTCTTAGGGGAGCTGCTGAACACCTCTGTTCCTGTTCCTTCTCTGTCCTGGGAAAGGGAAACCCCAGAACAATGAGAAGAGCACCAGCTGCGGGAAGAGGTCCCTAGATGGGTAAATTATCATCGTATTTTCCTTATTTTAGGGTCTAGTTTATTAATGTTTATTTTTACTAGGAAATCACTCATTTCCTCTAGGTTTCCAGTTCGAATTCAATAGGTTTATCTTACTTCACTTTTAACTTCTCCTCTCTAGTTTTTTTAATAGAATTGTTAACAATTAATGAACAAATATCGATGCATTATTATTCACGAAAGTCTATATTTTATTCAGGTTCCAGCATTCAGGCTCAGTCTCAATGCTAGCACCTCTATCTGTTAAAGCCCTTACTGATCATCAACCAAAAAGGTTAATGGTGACAGCTGGAGTACCTGGTGGGTGACTGGATTGTGGTGGTATGATAGGAAATGAGACCAGGAGAAGAAACTGGCCTGATAGTCTCAACATTGTGTTGATGATTGAGACTTTATTC